CCCCCCCCCCCCCCCCCAAGAGACAGGCTGGCATCTGAGGACAGCCCAGAGGCTAGAGAGGAGGGACCGAGGGGCACGTCGCCACTGAGCTCCGGGCTCCTTCCTGGGCCAAGACTCCCCACTCTCAAGGTGCCCCCCATCCTTGGTGGCAGGCAGGGACTCGGCTCCCGGGGACACTCACGGCGCAGACGGTCATCAGCACGTTGACAGCGCCTGTGCCTGCCGTCACGTACTGGACATCCTGTGCCCTCACCCCAGCGCTCAGGTAGATCTGGTCTGCATAGTAGTAGATCTGGAAGGCCACCCCGGAGGCTGGTGAGGCCGGCCAGGCAGCCTGGACCCCTCGGCGGATCCCTTCCCGCCCCCGCCCCCGTGCCTGCCCGCTGACCCGGCCCCGGCTGCCCTGGTACCGCGTTCACTCCCGACAGCTGCTGGCCGCCCATGAGGACGACGATGGAGATGACCTGCCACCGCAGGGACCTCATACTGAGCAGCTTCAGCACGGAGATGAAGCCGGCGGCCTTCTCGGCCCTGTCCTCCTCCCAGATCTCCTGTGTCTCGGCGTCCACGTCGTCCCAGCCGCGCAGTTCCCTCAGCGCTGGGGGAGGGAGCAGACGGGGCGCTGGGGGCTGAATCACGCAACCCCCCGCCCCCCAGCAAAGACGCCGCAACCTGCGTCGTTTCTCCTGGTCTCCTGGGAAAGCCTTACCGTTTTTGGCAGCCGCTTCATCTTTCTTCTGAATGAGCAGGTACCTGGGGCTCTCGGGGAAAAAGGGCAACAGAAGGAGCTGCAGTGCCGCGGGGATCCCGGTCACCCCAAGGAGGATGGGCCAGCCTGCAAGGAAACCAGTCCTACGTGAGAGCTGGCGCCCCAGCCTCCTCTCCTGCTTCTCTCCGCCCCCAACCCCACTCTGGCCCGTTATCCCGATTGGTTTTCTTTGGAGCTGGAGCTTCTTTCTTCTCTTCCGTCCCCAGCACCTAGGTTGGTGCCTAACCAAGAGCGGACACTCTAAATACTTAGACAATGGATGCTGATGAATAGCCACTACCCACCTATCAGATGAACAAAGTGAAAACTCTGACAACACCAAGCACTGACGAGAATGTGGGCAGATGGGAAGTGTCCACACCGCTGTGTGGACACGTGGCATCTTTAGGGGACAGGCTGGCAGGAGCTAGTGATGCTGGACACCCACGTGCTCTAACCCAGTAGTCCCACTCAGGAACGCATGCCTGGGCCACCAGGACACCGGAAGGACAAGGGCAGAGCAGCACTGATTATAGAAACAAAACCCAGAAACAAGGTGAATGTCCACACTGTAGAATGGATGCATAAGTCATGGTTCATTCATAAGATGGAATTTTATACTTTGGTGAAAATGAAGCAAGTCAGGACAGAAGCCAATCCCACCAATGCGATGTTGGGTGCAGTGTGGTTCCACACAATGTGGTTCCATTGTATTGAGTCCGGGAACAGGGAAAATTAACTCTATCTTCTAGAAGAGTGGTGAAACTCTTCTAGGGAAGAGTAAGGAGGCGATGATCATAAATGTTGGCACAGTGGCTCCCTTTGGGGGCAGGAAGGCTGTGATTGAGGGGCGCACAGGGGGCCGGCGTGGTTCTAGTTCTGGACCCTTATATATGTTACATCACTCAATAAAAACGGTTAAATAAGTGAATGAGTGGTTCAGGCTCCATCTAGGAGCTGTGAATGCCCGACTCACCCCCTTTTCTCCCATGCAGGAGGTGATAACTGGAGACATCTGCGCGCCAGGGACTAGAGTCTAATGGCTTTTCACATGTAGCCCACTTCCCCATCATAGCAGTGTCTGGAGGCAGGTACCAGGATCAACCCCATGTTACACCTGCAAACACCGAGGCACGGAGGGCATGTAGCTCCCTTGCCCGAGATCAGTTATTTAGGAGCAAAGCTGAGATTCGAACTCAAGCACATTGAACCCTGAATCCCCATCCTCCAAACCTTCTCCCACCTCTTGGCTCTGAATCCAGGGCCTAGCTGATCGGGTCCTGCTTCTGTCACCCTTGCACAGACTACAGCGAGTATGGACGTGCCTGCCATTCTGGCCGTTGCCATCTGCCCTCTGGCCCCCACGCCACCCCCTACACTGAAGCTCTTCTCGTGAGATCTCGGTGACCCCTAACTGCCAAACCCAGACACCGTGTTCCAATCTTGACCCCCGTGACTTCTATGCAGCCTTTGTGCTGTGACTGCCCACTCACTTCCAAGAACTCTGACACTATTCTCTCTGGCCTTCCTTCTTTCTTCACTGAGCACCTAGTATGTGCCATGAGCTGCGCCGGAGATTCAAAGATGAGGAAGGCCAGGCCCCGCCCTCCACACTCTTGTCTAGAGGAGGGTACCGAGGGCTGAATAGTCACCAGAAAGGATGGAGGGACAAAGTGGAGTCCACCACCACACCTGCAGCTCCCTGCATACACAAAGAACTTTATGCTTCCATCCCCTCTGCCCACATCTGGAATGCTGGTCCTACCCGTGCCCCCAAGCCCAGGCCCTCTCTGAGACCCCCTCCCTGGGTGGAACCATGACTCCCTGCCACACACCACAGAGCACTTCGCGGGTGCCAGGGATCCGTGGCTGTTTCTGGGTGCAGCAGCTCGTTGGTTACGTGCCATCAGCGGGGGACAGGAACCTAGCTCCTGCACTCCTGGTCCCAGCTCTTTACAAGGGCGATTGAAAGGTGGGAGAGCTGGTAGTTACACTCAGACTCAGGCCTGCACTGCCTGCATTTGTGTCCTAAGGAGACATTGGACACGTGATCCAACTTCTCTATGCCTCAGGTTCTGCACCTGTAAAATGGGTATAGTAATAGTACATGCTTCATAGGTTGTTTGGAGAATTAAATGGATTATATAAAAGACTTCGTGTCTGGCCCATACGTTTTGACTGGTGCTTTGTTAGTGGTGACTTCCCTTTCAGAGGTTCGAGACCCAAGACAAAAAAAAGGGAGGTCATGCAAGAACAATGACAGTTATGAGTTGCTGTACACCTACTATGTGCCAGGCCCCAGGCTCTTGGGGTGGGGGTGTGTGCAGCTCCGAAGTCTGGGTCTGGTGTGGATACCAGCCCTGAGACTCACCACCTCACCCACGGAGGCTGGGTCTTGTGACCCTCTTTGCTGTCTGTGATGGGATGATCACGGGCCCCTGGGCAGCTGCATCGCTGGGAGGCTCCAGTGCAATGGTGCCGGAGGCCTTAAGCACAGAGGCTGGCACCCTGGTGGCCGTCATTACCACGCCCCGGGTCCCTGTGTGACAGCCACCAAGCAACCAAGAGAAAGATAGCATCACCTCCTGCGCCCTCACAACTCCCTCATCCGTGTCCCAAGAGGGACTAGAGAACATCAGTCTGTCTGTCCCCACCAACTTGTTCAGACCCGCTCTGGGCAACCTCCAGCTCAGCACCGTGGGGTCAGGGCTGTGTGGGGGCGCCGTCATTTAGAGAGAAAAGACCAGCTCATAGGAACGGGCTGGGGGTCTGAGGTGTCCTGAGCTCACCTTTTTCGTTTGCGAGGAGACTCCGAAGACCCAAGATCTGGGCCGCAAGGATGCCGACGGTGATGAAGAGCTGGGGCACCACCCCCAGGGCCCCCCGCAGGTTCTTAGGGGCCAGCTCCCCTAAGTACATAGGGACGACATTGGAAGACAGACCTGGGAGGGAGGGTGAAATAAAGACACCATCAGGAAACATTAATCTGGCAGGGATGAGCTCTGTCTTCAAACACATTTATTCTTCCTCAGCAATCGCATTAGTTGGGCTGAAACTGTCTCAAAACTGCAGGACTAAGCAAACCACCCCCCTTGCAATTCGTAGGCCTTTTAACTTTAAGAGAAAACAGTCTGACCAAAGAAGTTCATGGACAGAGCGTTTGCTTCCAGACTGGTGTCACCTGGGGACACAGGCCACCCGGACCTCAGGTCTTCCCTCCTGATTGGCTTGGTCTCGGAGAGGAAAAGCCCAGGTGTGGTTAGACTCTGTCTCCTCTCTTGCTCCTTGGTGGGGCGAACCTGTTAATAAAAGGCCAAGGACCCCTGCCCACCAGCTTTACCTTCTGAGACTGTATATTACATAATAAGCTGATGCATAGACATTGAAGCATAAGCTTTATTTGTCAGTAAGCAGTGAAAAATTAAATATATTTTGTAGACTAACTGCATTCTGGGATTTGTGTAATGACTGAATTACTTCTGAATCCTCAATATTTGAACTTGTTGGTTTTCCTGTCTTACTGATATCTGACCCCCTTATGAATAGGTGAAACAGTTTTATAGGCTCTAAAGTATTTTCATAGATATTATCCCATTTAGTTCTCCTCAAAGTCCAATGAAAGGTTGGGGGTCTGGGAGGAAGGTCAGATGGGTTGTTACTGGTCCAAGTATCGCACATGGAGCCAGAGGCAAGCTGATGCTCAGAAAGACGTGGGGTCTGAGAGGGAGGCTGTGGCCAAGGGCAGACCAAGGGAGACAGTGTGGGGTGAGGGGAGGCTGGAGCTGCTGGTGATGGGAGGGTATTTTATAGCACTGAGATAAGAGGAAACTGACAGCCAAGTTTTCAGCTCTGCAATTCTGCCCAAGGACATCTCTGCTTAGTATTTTATTATTATTATTTTTGGCTTTTTTTTAACATCTTTATTGGAGTATGATTGCTTTACAATGGTGTGTTAGTTTCTGCTGTATAACAAAGTGAATCAGCTATACGTATACATATATCCCCATATCCCCTCCCTCTTGCGTCTCCCTCCCACCCTCCCTATCCCACCCCTCTAGATGGTCACAAAGCTCCGAGCTGATCTCCCTGTGCTCTGCGGCTGCTTCCCACTAGCCATTTTACACTTGGTAGTGTATATATGTCCGTGCCACTTTCTCACTTCGTCCCAGCTTACCCTTCCCCCTCCCCATGTCCTCAAGTCCATTCTGTATGTCTGCGTCTTTATTCCTGTTCTGCCCCTAGGTTCTTCAGAACCCTTTTTTTTTTTTTTTTTTTTTTTTTTTTTTTTTTTTTTT